GGCATTTTTATCCACCTATCGAGTCCTTCCCAGGTCCTCGGGAAGGACTCGATAGGTAGATAAAAATCCCAAATCCAGTCTAAACATCTGGCTGGGTGACCAACCATAATAATAACAAAAATAATGCCAATAGTAATAGGTCCTTTGGGTGCAATCCCAAAGCATCTGGAGCACCATTTGAATACTATCGCCATTGGCAAAATCACTATCAGTCGATTGCAAAAGGCAGCTTCGCTTGGAACAGCTTCTATCCTGCGACGATCCCTTTAACACCCTCAAACAGCCACATCTGCCTATCCCAGGTCCTTGGGAAGGTCTCGATAAGTGGATAAAAATGTCAAATCCAGTCTAAACATCTGGCTGACTGTGCGACCAACAATAATAATAATTTATTAAGTTTGTATGCTGCCTGACTCTGAATGACTCTGGGTGGAGTTTACCTTGGTTCCCTCCATTACCTTTCTGCTGGTAAGTAGAATCATTTCATTATCAATGGGAAAGTTGGGCTGGTTGCTAGATCATGTTTAAGGTAGTTCAATGTGAATTTTTTTACTGATGGTGATTTTAACCTTTTTTTAAAAAATCATTTATTACTTTTACTGTTAGCTGCCTTAAGCACCATCGATAAGTGCAACAAAAATTCAACACCTACATATATACACACATTCAATCCCTCTAGCCATTTTTAGCATCTTACAGCTCCACGACATCACAGTGTTCAAGATGTGTAACAACAGACAATGTAAAATATTTCACAGATCCAGTGCGTTTTTTTCCCATTCTCCCCTGACCGAACCCTGAATTTCAAAACACACCAGACGGGTAGATCTCGCAACACTTCCAGAACATGCAGAGGAACATGCTTGGAAATGTTGCTACGTAAAACGAAGGCACATATAACTGTTCTGACTCAAGAGCTCTACAAGGAACTTACAAACCATTATGGGATGCACGGGGGTGGGGGGTGGGGAACAGTTTCTCTCTAAAGGCTCTTGGTCTTTTAACAGAACTAAAAATGAATAGGGGACTCCTGCAGATGTCCAAGTGATGCTCTAGAGCAGTGTTTTTTAAACTTGGCGACTTTAAGGTGTGTGGACTTCAGTTCCCAGAATTCCACAGCCAGCATGTCCACAAAGTTGCCAAGTTAAAAAACAAACCAAAACAAAGCAAAAACACTGTTGTAGACAGTGCACACACTGAGATCAATTTCTTACAAAACATGCAATTTGCACCTCAGCTGTACAATTTAGAATGGAGGGATTACGAAGAGACAAGTGGGTTATCCTGTATTGACACCCTGCATTTTCCTAGATATTCAGACTTCATCCAATGATCCCTTTAAGCATCTTCTATGGTTAATCATATTCACAGATGTGTTTATTGTTATCCCATCATGTTGTTATAATATAGTGTAAAGGCCACTGCAATATTTATGGGGTTTATAAAAGTAAGTTTTGGAGGTTTCCAAGACTCATTTCTATACAGAGCTTACATATTGGCGCTGCTAAATCTGCAGCAAATATTAGTATAACATCTCTGGGCGTGATGGCTTGGTGGCTCGGCTCACCATATCTCTTTTTCTAGTTTATTGGAGATAAGGCTTTACACAGAGATGCAAGTGGGAGAAACTCCTGGCTGATGTTTTGGAAGCACCACTGGGCTAGGTGGACCAGTGGCCTGAATTCCACATCCACAGCGGCATATGATCCACGTAGCAAAAGGATTTTGGGCTCTGTGTTTCTTCAAATTCTTCTAGGGAGTATGTTTCTCCTCTTTGCCCCATTCCATCCCACACCGGGCAAGATTATTCCTTTGGTCCCAGCCCTGATTTCACGGAGAGTGGGAAAAAATGGATATGCACTTCTAGCAAAAAGAAAAAAAAAAGTGAACTACAGAGAAGTAAAATTAAATATCGATCTGCACTCTGACTCACCCCCAGCCCTGCCTTGGTGACGTGCATAATGCAAAGAGACTGATCTGCTTCTGATGCACAAAAGGCGAGAGGTGACAGAGTGATGGTTGGTTGTGGTTTTTGAGCATTAATGTATGACTCTGTTTCACCCAAAGGCACTGCATTCGAAGGGATACATATGCTCTGATTGGATCTGCAGTTGCTCAGTTCCCAGGAGCAAAGTAGACATTTGGCAAGGCAGCCATCAACTGATCAACATGAGTACATGAACTACCCAACCACGAATGCTTGTCCCATGAGAGTCACAAATAAAGCTTTAACCACACATAAAGAGGCTTGTGACACCCTAAAGATTAACAGATTAAGTGTTTGGGGATCTCTGTCCACTTCACCAAATCCAAGACATGGGCTTTGTGTAATTTGTGTGATAACAAATGGGTTATTGTTCAGTGGCAATATACACACACACACACACACACACAAAAGACGATCACAACTACAGATCTTAAAAATAATCTGTGATTATCAAGGATTAAACTATGAGGGAGATGCGGGTTCAAATCCACTTTCAGCCCTTCCACTGAGGGATCAACAGGACAAAGAAGTTCCTCAAAAGATCCATGTGATGTGTAAAAGCTTTGTGCAAATAACAATTTGCAAGCAACCTTCATTCAACGGAATGTCTTAGCTCCTAGCTGCTCTCTTCTTTTCTTTCTCTTAAAAACACTCTGATTATTTGGAGCAGAAAATAATTTGGCCTGGCCAAAGAACATACAACTTTTCCCAGTGCTGATGGAAAGGTAGGAAGGGCTATCCCACATACATAGGGAAGACTATTAGGGGCATCAGCCTACTAAGTTGGCTTTTATTTTCTCATTTTAAAGCAAATATGTGTTAAACTATGATGGGTACCATTACTGTTTCATATGTCTCCCATCCTAAATTGTGTCCATTTTGCCCCTTAACACCCCCCCCCCCACCGTGGTGAAAAATAGCCCTATTTGTGGGGTTGGATCTTTTTAAAAGGGATGAAATTGGTATTTTATGACTCTACAAGTCTTAAGGCGCTCATTTTGCTCTTAATCTCCTCAAAATAACAATAATAAAAATATTTCGACTCCCAACAATCCAGAGCACTCAAAAAATCACAGGTAATCCATCCCAGAATCAGATGGTAAATTAGCAGTGGATGGGACATGCCACACAGCTGATGGAAGGCCAACATTCCTTTAGCAAATCTGCCTTCTCATCTTCTGATGCTCTTGCAAGATGAATGGACTCTAACAGCCCACTGATCATATCATTCCAAAGCTGATGTAGACCTAATGGTGTTAGACCATAAGATGCTCATACTGACACAGCCGGTCAGGACTGTTAGACTTATAACTTTATGATGGATTCCTGCAATGTGAACCCAGGTTTGAGTCGCTATCTTAAACATGCCATCTTGGAAGTTAAATGCAGCTGAGATCAACCAGTTTTGTTTTCTAACAAACAGAACTGAAATTGCATGGTAAAACCTTCAATCCCCTTTGGAAAAAGGTAAAAAGAGCCATCTGTTTTGTCATGAAATATGTTGCAAATAAAAAGAATCTCTGCTTGAAAATACTGAGGAATCACATCTTAATCTGAAAAAACATTTGATCTTTGGATACCTGAATCATTATTTCAGAAATCCACCTAAAAGCTACCCCTTACTGAATCTTTCAATTGTCTGTCTGTCTGTCTGTCTCTCTCTCTCTTTCTTCCTCCCTTCCCTTCCCTTCCCTTCCCTTCCCTTCCCTTCCCTTCCCTTCCCT